TCAAATGTCGTTGAATCTTTCGAAACTCCTGAACAAAAAACTTTGTTGGATGCATTTCAATTTTTGATTTGCCGTCCCAAGTTTAGAAAAGTAAATTTACGATTTGGAGGTGTGACAACAAATTAAAGTCAAGGGCTGGCGAAGGGAAATAACACCATGAAACAAATGGGAGATAAGACAAACACAGTGACTAACCCCTGCGACCACCTATTTCAGGACACAGAACGAAAACATAGTGCACAGAAAAATACAATAGTGGTGTGACTAGATTAGCAGTTTCTAATGTACATTGGTTACAGTCATACAGCCATTATAGATGAGATACACTAGCAGTGTCTAATCTACATACAGCCATCATAGATGAGATACATTAGCAGTGTCTGATCTAAATTGGCTACACTCATAGAGCCAAATAATAGGTGAGTTGCATGTGATTTACTAATGCCCAGGGTGTATATATATTCTAATTATACTTAACTAAACCTACTTCCATACATGTTGGGTATTTGCAATGAGAATAGGCACTTTCTTATTATTCTTACTTTCTAAAAGTCTATTTTCACAGCAGTATGTGCAACCGATACAACGTTTTGTCATCGGGTATCATTGATCATACTTGGTATAAACAATTCACAACAATATAGTTGGAAGTTGAACCCAGTATAAGCTAGATTACATTTAGAAAACTGATCCAAAAAATATAATGACCTCTCAACTGCACATGTTAAGTATTTATATAAAATATTAAACACGATTTTAAACATAGTTGCAAAGAAAACATTAGCCCAGTCTAAGTTGATGCAAGTTTTATTTTCTGGTTAATTATAACATATACTGATACAATTTCTGATTATAGCAGAGTAAAACACATAAAAGTGATGATGTGATGACGGGGTTTGGTTAAATCTTATTGATATTAGGCAAAACTTTTATGACTGAATTTTGATGAAGGTTGGCCTAATGTTGATAGGGGCTATTTTGATGGTGACTGATTAATCTGATGGTGACTGTCTAAATCTTGATGGTGACTGGCTAAATTTTGATGGTGACTGGCTAAATCTTGATGGTGGCCGATTAATCTGATGGTGACTGGCTAAATCTTGATGGTGACTGGTCAATTCTTGATGGCGATTGGCAAAATCTTGATTACCAGCCCAGATTTGATGACAGTGGACACAATTTACGAAGATTTTTTTACGAAGATTGGTTAAGCCTTGATGATCGACTAAAATTTGATGCCGATCATTTAAATCTTGATGGTCGACTTGATGATATTCGACTACAATTTTCTATAGTCTGGCAAAGTCCTTTTGATTCTGGATACTGGAGCACTTTAAGAGATTACCACAACGTCTGGGTAGATGATTGGATTGTTCTTGGTACACATCTACTGGATTCTGAGTTTATTTCCATGAAGAAGAGGCGATGAAAGATGGCGGCACACAACGGGACACAATGACACGAAGACCAAAAGACAGTCGTGTTGTTTCTAGAACAGGACTTGTTTCCCTTCTAGGGGGCGCTTATGTCAGTGGCCAGCATAATAAAACCCTGACAGAAGAGTCAAAAACATGTTAGCTTACAGCTCATATGTTTATATATATTATATATATATATATATATATATATATATATATATATATATATATATATATATATATATATATATTCATATGTGTTCAGCATTTATAGTTATCACAAGACAGTGGGGTATTTCAAAAGATAATTGTAAAAGCTGCATGTTGTAAAGAAAATATTGAAACCATCCCAATCTCTTTGTATCTGGAGTCCACACAATCTCTTTGTAATTGGAGTCCAACTTACGGTATCTAACACGATCTTTGGGTTGACCAGTGTAAAGGGCAGTGGGTGGGCAGCTGCATTTCTCTCAGCCTCTGGAGGAATACACAGCTTTATGTAATAATGTATGGTAATAATGTAATGTAATAAAGTAACGTAATAATGCAATGTAATAATGTATGGTAATAATGTAATGTAATAAAGTAACGTAATAATGCAATGTAATAATGTATGGTAATAAAGTAATGAAAATATGTTTCACATTCACAAGATTTGTAATTAAAATTTACGAATTGAAAAGTAAACATTCCCAACACATATGTCATGTATGAATAATCGCAAACGTTTTTATTTAATTAAAGTTTAAAAAAAGAGAAAATGAGAAGTAAATTAGATGTTTAAGAATGTCACTAATTAAGACAGGCTAATAGTTATGAAGCAGGTGTATTACCGATAAAGGGACCCCAAACGTTGGACAAAAACTCCTGCTCAAGTCCTTCCGACAACAATGGCACCTGTAAATGACGTTAAATTTACATAAAAAATCAGATTGTGTGCGTTGGGGGGGGGGGGGGGGCAGGGAGATGAGACTGAGGCTGTGTAGTTATTCAACCAAAGTTAACACTGTTGTAGGTATAGAGATAAAACAAACGTCATTTGTGATCTGACGGAGGTTGGAGCTCAACCCCCACCCCCACCACACTGCCATCCGAATAGGACATGTAGTGAGTAAAGTTCCATTTTCGAAGCCTATGATTCATGTAGAGACCTATACATGAGAAGAGAATAATTTCTCAGACAAGACGTTCAAACTTACTTGATGGGTCTCTAGATTCGTAATGTAAAAACCAAACTCGATTCTGTAAACAAAGAAATAGACAACGGCATTCGATTTGATCGATTACACAAGAAATATCGAAACAAACTAACAACGAATACATACATTAATAAATACAACTTTAAGAAAGACATACTTCTAGAAATTCAACTTTAACAAATACAACTTTAAATACAACTTTAAAACAAATACGACTTTAACAAATACACAATTTACAAATCAATTTTAACAAATACAATTTTAACAAATACAACTTTATCAAACACAACTTTTTTAAACAAAACTTAAACAATGTGAACATTTGTTAGTGCTGTATGACCTACCTGGGCTGTTGGTGCTGTATGACCTACCTGGGCTGTTGGTGCTGTATGACCTACCTGGGCTGTTGGTGCTGTATGACCTACCTGGGCTGTTGGTGCTGTATGACCTACCTGGGCTGTTGGTATAGTATGACCAGAGTGTTGTTCTGTATGGTTGGCGTGATGACAAATGTTGCATTCTGTAACAAAGTGTCAGGAAGTTAACATGACATGTATGGGAAGTTAACTTGAGATCTATGGGTAGTTAACATGGGATCTATGGGAAGTTAACATGGGATCTATTGGAAGTTATATGGGATTACGGGAAGTTAACATGGGATCTATGGGAAGTTAACATGGGATCTATGGGAAGTTAACATGGGATCTATGGGAAGTTAACATGGGATCTATGGGAAGTTAACATGGGATCTATGGGAAGTTAACATGGGATCTATGGGAAGTTAACATGGGATCTATGGGAAGTTAACATGGGATCTATGGGAAGTTAACATGGGATCTATGGGAAGTTAACATGGGATCTATGGGAAGTTAACATGGGATCTATGGCAAGTTAACATCGGATCTATGGGAAGTTAACATCGGATCTATGGGAAGTTAACGGATGTATGGCTAAATAAGCTACGCTTATAGTAACATGTTTCGATTTATCTTAACTTAATTAGTGTAGCTAAATGAGAGAAAGTCGTGAACTCTAATTAGATGAATATATTAAAATTTAATTTGATTTTTACTACAAACTATTTTCAACAGTAAAGAAAAAGTTGCTCAAACTGTTACGGGCTCATAGCTTCAAGTCAGGACCGGATTTAGCCCTTATAAACCCTTAAGCTACTTGAGATAGGGGCACCTTTCTTAAGCCCATATTTTACCACAGTTGGGCTATGGTCTACACAGTTTTCATGTGGACCAATAATGCAGCAGTATATTTAAGTATACACGACTATTGCGCTATCCAGAGAAATTTAAAAAAAAAAGGGGGGGGGGGGGCCTAAGTGGAGGTTATAAGATCTAGCGTGTTACATATATCTCAAGCTAAACGACCTGTAATCCAGATAAATATCATCAAAAGCTATTCAATATCATTTTCTGCCTGATAAAGTGAGATTTTTCTACCTTTTATCGTGTCCAAAAGTAAACAAGGTAATTAAAAAGTCTAGTGACAATTTTTTTCCTTATGTTATCTAAAAATAGCTCTGTCGTAGCGTAAATCAAGAGCAGGGTTAGTGAAACCATTGGTTAGTTATTAACACGTTTTTTATTAAAAAAATTTCCAGTATTTTACATGTTTTATTTACAATAGAGTTACATGACTAAAAACCATTGCGCGCCTAGCTACCAAACGTGATGGCGCAGCCATTGAACGTGATGGCGCAGCTATTGAACGTGATGACGCGTGTGGTGTGGTTGGATAAACATGCCTACTAATTCGGTCCAAATTTTAATTAATTAAAAAAAAATTTTGTGACCGAACGAAAGGATATTTTTGAAAACTTTCTTCGGCAATATTGTTCTAAATTATGGCAGGAATCGATTGGTAAATGTTTCAAGTCGCTAAGTGGTCTGGTTGCCGAGATATGGACCAAAAACTGCATTTTTTCGAGTTTTTTTTTTGTCTTTTCCGGGAAATCCATGAAAGAAACCCGGAATTTTTTGGCCCACTATCATCCTCGTAACTTGCTTAACATAATTGCTTTGGAACTAGTCCTCGATATTGCTTCGTTGAGGAGGAGATACGACTTAAAGCTGCGGACACACATCCATTCATTCATACATTCATACATTCATACATCCAGAAATGACGGGTTAATAAACGCAATTCTCCAGAATGGAAATTGCGCTAAAAACAAATGGAGTGACAAAAACACAAAATGGCTCTCTCAAAAAGCAGCTTACAACTCTTCTGTGCAGATATTTCATGCCAACGTGCACTACGTCAACGGTGGCCGACGCGACGCTGTAGAACGTAATGGTGATGCCGGACTTGGTAAAGTTGACCAGGGGATTGTGCGAGGTGTAGAATGCTATTTTAATGTCAGGTGCCATCATGTTGTCCTGATGAAGGTAAGCACGGGCTGATTATCAAAGAAATAAATTGTGTGTATATACACACACACACACACATATATATATATATATATATATATATATATATATACGATGTCTAGTACATATATATCTCTATCTCTATCTATATATCTATCTATATATCTATCTATATATCTATCTATATATCTATCTATACATCTATATCTATATCTGCATCTGCATCTGCATCTGCATCTGCATCTGTATCTATATCTATATCTATATCTATATCTGTATCTGTATCTGTATCTGTATCTGTATCTGTATCTGTATCTGTATCTGTATCTGTATCTGTATCTGTATCTGTATCTGTATCTGTATCTGTATCTGTATCTGTATCTATATCTATATCTATATCTATATCTATATCTATATCTATATCTATATCTATATCTATATCTATATCTATATCTATATCTATATCTATATCTATATCTATATCTATCTATATTTATAATACATATCTATATCTATATTTATAATACATATATATATATATACATATATATGAACTATAATACATATATATATATGAACTATAAATCAATATATATATATATATATATATATATTTATATTCATATATATATATATATACGTGAGTGTGTGTTGAGATATATATATATATATATATATATATATATATATATATATATATATATATATATATATATACGTATATATATATACATACATACATACATACATACATATATATATATATATATATATATATATATATATATATATATATATATATATATATATATATATACAATGTATACATTTTGAAGTATTGATTACCGAGACATCTCTGTCTATCACCGACAGCAGCAAGTTTGTGCAAGTCTCAGACAGCTGTATATGAAACAAATGACATATAATGTCAACATAATTTGAGATGACATTATTTTGTTTTTGAACAAAAATGCACATTAGCTTACTTTTTGTATTTAAATGATACTTTTAAAAATTGCTCCAAAGTTACTAACCAAAGTTACAAACACAAACCTATTTTTTTTTTATTTCTAGCATAAAACATAGTGTTAATACAGTGATGAAACCTCGACTATCACACTGCTGGTGTATGATCCTCCTGATGTTTTTCTAGCACCTGTACATACATGCCTCGGTCGAGATAAACACCTAAACTGTGGGAAATGAGAAATGAGATTTTGTGTACCTGTTGAGGTTCCAGCTGGACATACAGACGATTGCTCTGGTCTAGTACAAACATCGCCGTCTTGACCACGTACTCGTTGACCATCACGTAGAACATGGCGTCGTTTTCCTGGAAGTCTGGCATGTGTACAGGTGTGTAAGGACTGCTCTGACCAGTGGTCATCCTGTGCTCACCCTGACAGAGGTAACAACATGCAGGACATGCACGCGAAACTCACCGTAAGTATTGTATTCAAGACAGAAATCGTGTGCTTTAATTAATGTTGTATTTCCATATTAAAAAGTTGTTTATTTTTTCGTTGTTTCTCTGCTACGTAAAGCCAATACTTCGCTATTGGAGCCGATTATTGTTTTTTTATTTGCATGAGAAAATAATGTCAAGTCTCTGGCCGTCTCCATTCTTTAAAGACTAGAGAGCTACAGGTTAAACAGACATACATACATAGAAACTATCAAATAGATGGTTGAATACTAAATAGTTACCCTGTGCTTAAAAGACTAGACAGCTACAGGTAAACATATACACATACATATAAACAATTAAATAGATGGTTGAATACTAAATAGTTACCCTGTGCTGCGACTCAATGTATTGGTTAGTGCCATATAGCAGTGCGGTTAGACTGTAGTCATAAATGATTCCATTGTCTACCCCTGTTTTAAAATAAGGAAAACAAGAAAATATACTTAATTTTTTTTTCTAGATTCTTATTTGTAATACTGGAGCCAATTTTCTCGAGCACAAATGTATTAACTTGGCACCATCTAATGTGTCATATTGCCTGCTGACTCAGACTTCAGTCAGCCTTTCATTCTGCTTTTGTTCCCATAGCCTTTGTACACTGAAGAACAAACTAAAAGGCAGCAGCTGTTTGATTTTGGAGTTGTCTCTCCTTGGTATGTTGCTGTCCCCAGCTGACGAGTCACATCTGCCTGATACTTTAATCGACTGGGGTTAATTCCATACTGGACTCTATATTTATATAGCAAGCGTCGATATATATATATATATATATATATATATATATATATATATATATATATATATATATATATATATATATATATATATATATATATATATATATATATATATATATATATAAAATTAGTATGCGTAACAAATGTTATGAAAATGAGTATGCAAAGGAAGCTTACACTGGAAACGACCATTAATCTGCTCAACTAAAGTCGTCAGTGCGTAGCAAACCTATAATGTAACACGAAAATTAGATCAGAATCTACATATTTAGCTAATCATTTCCTCTATTACTTAGCCATGAGTGATTACATTTACTTTGTGTGCGTGTGGTTTGTTACTGGCTAGTTATTTCTCTGGTACAGCTCTTAATGCACGTGTTGGGTTTAAACATAATTTGAAGACCACTGGTTTGAAATGTTCCGATATGTATAGGCAACCAGTTAAATAGTGACATGTACAGCACCAACACATATGTCTCAAACGTTTAAAATACCTGGATATGTGGCTGTGTTTAAGATCACTAGACTATGTGGCTATGTGGCTATGGGAAATACTTTACCTCATCGGTCAACACATTCTTGACGTGGGAGTGGTATGTGGTGGTCAAGGCATGGTACATCTGATATGATCCACCGGCGTACCCTAGTACCAGATCACCAAACGTGAAGCTACAGTCGTCAATATAAACCACGGGTTTCTCGTTCCTATCCAGGCCTGTGGATCATTAATTAACTTAAACTCTTTAACAGATTCAAATGAGATCTCAAAATTCACACTCATTAACAGATACTAACGTTGTACTTGTCTTAAAATACACACCCAGTAACAGATTCTAATAAGGGAATTGTCTTAAAATTCACACTCATTAACATATTCAAATGATGTAGTTGTATTAAAATACACATTCATTAACATATAGTAAATATGTAATTGCTAAAATAAACACCCAGAAACAGATTCTAATGATGTAATTTTATTAGAATACAAAAACTCATTAACGTACTCTAATGATGTAATATTCTAATGTAAGAGTTTACAACGTGACACACCTGAATTCAGCTTGAGATTAAGGTGAAGGTCAGTCAGCTTAATACTGTCTATGTTCGTGGTGCTGAGGACATACAACACACATACCATCTCACATAAGTACCATCCCACATAGATACCATTATAGATACCATCATTATCTCACATCCCCAACATCTCACCTAAGTACCATATCACATAGTTACCATCTCACATAGGTACCATCATTATAGGTATCATCACTGTAGGTACCATCATTATAGTCACCATCATTATAGGTACCATCATTATCTTACATTCCTACCATCTCACATAGGTACCATGATTATAGGTATTATCATTAAGTCAAATTGTTACCATCACCATCTCACATAGATACCATTATTACATGTACCATTATAACATGTACCATCAATAGCTTAAATTAGCTGACAAGACTTCCCAGTGACCTTCATTTGAAACAAGGTCAGGTATTTCTGAGGGTAAAGGTGCAAAAAGCAAAATTCACGACAGTCAAGCAAAAGGTCAAAGGTTAATGAAGACAATGAAGTCGTGGTCAGCTAAGTAAGAAAGGACACCGCAGCTAAAACCTTGTCTCCAATTATCTGTTTAACAACAATATCCTATATGGTTAAGCCTTCATCAGAATTAATACATTAATACTTATAAATAATGGTTATTTATGAAGGAAGGTTTCATGATCAACTCTTTAGCTTTATAATCAGCTGTTTGAAAGATTTATGTTTGAAATGTTCGTAGGCTATCGCCTGTATTACTGGCATATTGTATAAGTTAAAATTGTCATGGCATGTCTAGGTTGAAATGTTCGTAGGCTATCACCTGTATTACTGACATATTGTATACGTTAAAGTTGCCATGGCGTGTCTAGGTTGACGTTCGTTGTTTGTTTACGAGTTACAGGCAACCAGAAGCAAAGCTGGCCGTCTATACTTCAACTACATACAGGGAACCATAAAAATGGCCGTCTATATTGGAACTACTCACAGGGAACTAGAAGCAAAGCTGGCCGTCCATACTTCCACTACATACAGGGAACCATAAAAATGGCCGTCTATATTGGAACTACTCACAGGGAACCAGAAGCAAAGCTGGCCGTCCATACTTCAACTACATACAGGGAACCATAAAAATGGCCGTCTATATTGGAACTACTCACAGGGAACCAGAAGCAAAACTGGCCGTCCATACTTCCACTACATACAGGGAACCATAAAAATGGCCGTCTATATTGGAACTACTCACAGGGAACCAGAAGCAAAACTGGCCGTCCATACTTCAACTACATACAGGGAACTATAAAAATGACCGTCCATATTGGAACTACTCACCGGGAACCAGAAGTGAACCGACCGTCCACGCTAGCACTGAGTTCACTCAACCAAAGGTCAAAGTTCAGGGGACTGTTGATTTCCACGGCGCTGTCTGTGACATTGAAGTTCGTGTACAGAATGCTGGAAATACAAGGGTAGAGGTCAAGGTAGAGGTCAAGGTAGAGGTCAAGGTAGAGGGTAGGCTAAGGTCAGACTGCAAGTCAGACTAGAGGTCATATTAAAATCAGACTAGCGTTAAGTCTAGAGGTCATATTAAAATAAGACTAGCGTTAAGTCTAGAGGTCAGATTAAAATCAGACTAGCGTTAAGTCTAGAGGTTAGATTAAAATCAGACTAGCGTTAAGTCTAGAGGTTAGATTAAAATCAGACTAGCGTTAAGTCTAGAGGTGAGATTAAAATCAGACTAGCGTTAAGTCTAGAGGTCAGATTAAAATCCGACTAGCGTAAAGTCTAGAGGTTAGATTACACAAACTAGGTTAGATTACACAAACTAGGTTAGATTACACAAACTAGGTTAGATTACACAAACTAAAACATTTTTAAAATAAAATTTACTCTTGAAAAATCCAGCTGACTCCGTAGCTCTGCCCCTGAAACAGCGTAGGAAGGAATTTGCTGGGATCTTCCTGTAGTTGTCGAAGGGCCAAGTCTTTCACTGGGGAAAACAGAAAGTTGACAATCAAATGTGCATTCTGATGTATGACGTTTGTGTTATAGAACCATGACCTGTAGGACATTGTGTTATAGAACCATGACCTGTAGGACATTGTGTTATAGAACCATGACCTGTAGGACATTGTGTTATAGAACCATGACCTGTAGGACATTGTGTTATAGAACCATGACTTGTAGGACATTGTGTTATAGAACCATGACCTGTAGGACATTGTGTTATAGAACCATGACCTGTAGGACATTGTGTTATAGAACCATGACCTGTAGGACATTGTGAGACATTGTGTTATAGAACCATGACCTGTAGGACATTGTGTTATAGAACCATGACCTGTAGGACATTGTGTTATAGAACCATGACCTGTAGGACATTGTGTTATAGAACCATGACCTGTAGGACATTGTGTTATAGAACCATGACCTGTAGGACATTGTGTTATAGAACCATGACCTTTAGGACATTGTGTTATAGAACCATGACCTGTAGGACATTGTGTTATAGAACCATAACCTGTAGGACATTGTGTTATAGAACCATGACCTGTAGGACATTTCGAGACATTGTGTTATAGAACCATGACATGTAGGACATTGTGTTATAGAACCATGACCTGTAGGACATTGTGTTATAGAACCATGACCTGTAGGACATTGTGTTATAGAACCATGACCTTTAGGACATTGTGTTATAGAACCATGATCTTTAGGACATTGTGTTATAGAACCATGACCTGTAGGACATTGTGTTATAGAACCATGACCTGTAGGACATTGTGTTATAGAACCATGACCTGTAGGACAGGGACATTGTGTTATAGAGCCATGACATGTAGGACATTTTGTTATAGAACCATGACCTGTAGGACATTTTGTTATAGAACCATGACCTGTAGGACATTGTGTTATAGAGCCATGACCTGTAGGACATTGTGTTATAGAACCATGACTTGTAGGACATTGTGTTATAGAACCATGACCTTTAGGACATTGTGTTATAGAACCATGACCTGCAGGACATTGTGTTATAGAACCATGACCTGCAGGACATTGTGTTATAGAACCATGACCTGTAGGACATTGTGAGACATTGTGTTATAGAACCATGACCTGTAGGACATTGTGTTATAGAACAGTGTTTCTTCCAGACTTTTTTCTCCGGGGGGGCACTTGAAATCTTCGGGGGGGCGGTAAACTTTCTTCGGGGGGGCGGACACTGTTAAAAGTATATATTTTCTATATAAATTATATAAATTTCATTTCGTTCGGGGGGGCGGTAAAAAATTTTCGGGGGGGCTTTGCCCCCCCGAAGAGATGCCTGGAAGAAACTCTGTTATAGAACCATGACCTGTAGGACATTGTGTTATAGAACCATGACCTGTAGGACATTGTGTTATAGAACCATGACCTGTAGGACATTGTGTTATAGAACCATGACCTGTAGGACATTGTGTTATAGAACCATGACCTGTAGGACATTGTGTTATAGAACCATGACCTGTAGGACATTGTGTTATAGAACCATGACCTGTAGGACATTGTGTTATAGAACCATGACCTTTAGGACATTGTGTTATAGAACCATGACATGTAGGACATTGTGTTATAGAACCATGACCTGTAGGACATTGTGTTAAAGAACTATGACCTGTAGGACATTGTGTTATAGAACCATGTCCTGTAGGACATTGTGTTATAGAACCATGACCTGTAGGACATTGTGTTATAGAACCATGACCTGTAGGACATTGTGTTATAGAAAAATGACATGTAGGACATTGTGTTATAGAACCATGACCTGTAGGACATTGTGTTATAGAGCCATGACCTGTAGGACATTGTGTTATAGAACCATGACCTGTAGGACATTGTGTTATAGAACCATGACCTGTAGGACATTGTGTTATAGAACCATGCCCTGTAGGACAGTCAGGTACAGTCAGGCTAAGTTAAATCACATAACACATTCATCTTCACCTTGATTGCAATTATAGCGCATGATAAATTAAACGTAATCACTATTAAAATTAAAACATAATTAATACAGATTAATAAAATCAAGTCAACTATTGAAATAAACAAACAGACTTAGCAAAAAAAAAATGCACAGATATTTACCATAGTTCAGTCCCTTGTTTGTTACCCTCAGTTTGATGCCAGGGTCAACAGCGCCCACGTGACCAACAGCCAATAGAATCACCGGACACAACAGCATCATCTTCAACATTTCAGATCGGCCTACACTACACACACAGATTAAAAAAATAAATATTTAAACGGTATTAAAACGTAACTTTTAATACAGAAAAATAAAATATTGTTTCTACTAAAATATATAACACGTTCCGAATAATTCATCGATAAGTGGAAGTCGCATGACAAAAGAATAAACGTATTGTTGCTCAAACTAAACCAAAAGCGGATTGTCAAATAAAAAAGTAAGAACCGATTAGCTGGCTGTATCAAGCTGTATGAAATAACTTCAGCACTAGAGTGATAATTCTAAGTGAACTGAACTAAAGCTTGCGTCTAGAGTAGACCCACGTCTCATGCATACAGCCCAGTCTACACTGAATATATTGTCGCGATTTCTTCAGGTCAGTGCGACCCTTGGGTCAGGGTGACCCGACCAGTTTGATCTTGATTCCAGATTTGATTCTAAAACAACATGTCGTAGTTAAAGATTTATGTAAGGCCGTTGGAGCACAGGCTGTCTGGGAGGTGTGAAAATAATTAACATAATTAATGCATGTCGTGATCTGTTACCTTCAACATGGTAGAATTGTTGTGTGCCTGAGACTGTCTTGTGCTGGGTTGTTTTATTGTTCTGTATTTAAGTCGTGTTTTTGTTACTTTTAAGTCATGAATTTTAGTTCTCTGTTTGTCTTGTTTTTGGTTTGTTTTTAAGTAATGTTTTTAATTTTATTTTTAGTCATGTTTTCGGTGCTAAGGGTTAAATTTTTTGAAGTCATGTGTTATGGTTTTCTAATGGGCAAGTTCGAATCCCAATTTAATGCCGTCACCATGACGTTATTGTTATTGTTTATCATCTCAAACGTTTTTGTCAGCAAAATCATTCATATTTATGTAACACATAGTTGTAAAACATCTTTGCCAGACATCCCACAAATCCAAGTCACACATCCATGTCACATATTCATGTCACACATCCATGTCACATATTCATGTCACACATCCATGTCACATATTCATGTCACACATCTATGTCACATATTCATGTCACACATCCATGTCACATATTCATGTCACACATCCATGTCACACATCTATGTCACAAATATGTGTCAAGCATCCAAGTCAATTATCCATATAAAATGAATTACTTCAATTGACATTTTTTAATTCTGTTTTATTGATAATCTGATTTGTAACAAAATCTACAGGTATAACATAATTACATTATCCCCTATTACTTAATTAGCACCGCTCAGGTTCCGCCATGATTATCGTCCATACAAGCCTTCACGTGTTGATAAGCCGAATTACTAATATTATAATCATAAGATTCATAATCATAAGATTCATAATCATAAGATTCATAATCATAAGATTAATAATTCCTAACATCTATTTCTGTTTACTTCATCGTTCGCTAACCAAAAGATATTGATTGTATACGTGGTCGTCCATAGCTCACACCACGGAGGGGGGGGGGGGTTTGAATATCACACACCACAAAGGGAGGGGGGGGGGTCGAATATCACTCACACCTGGGAGGGGGGTCTAATATCACTCACACCTGGGAGAGGGGGGTCTAATATCACTCACACCTGGGGGGTCGAACATCACTCACACTGGGGGGGGGGGGGGGTCGAATATCTCTCACACCTAGGGGGTCGAATATCACTCACACCTAGGGGGTCGAATATCACTCACACCTGGGAGGGGGGTCGAATATCACTCACACCTGGGAGAGGGGGGGTCTAATATCACTCACACCTGGGGGGTCGAATATCACTCACACTGGGGGGGGGGGGGGTCGAATATCTCTCACACCTAGGGGGTCGAATATCACTCACACCTGGGGGGGTCGAATATCACTCACACCTGGGGGGGGGTCGAATATCACTCACACCTGGGGGGGGGGGTCGAATATCACTCACACCTGGAGGGGGGTCGAATATCACTCACACCTGGGGGGGGGGGGTCGAATATCACTCACACCTGGGGGGGGGGTCGAATATCACTCACACCTGGGGGGGGGGGGTCGAATATCTCTCACACCTAGGGGGTCGAATATCACTCACACCTGGGGGGGGGGGGTCGAATATCACTCACACCTGGGGGGGTCGAATATCACTCACACCTGGGGGGGGGGGTCGAATATCACTCACACCCGGGAGGGGGGTCGAATATCACTCACACCTGGGGGGGTCGAATATCACTCACACCTGGGGGGGGGTCGAATATCACTCACACCTGGGGGGTTAAATATCACTCACACCTGGGGGGGGGGTCGAACATCACTCACACCTGGGGGGGGGTCGAATATCACTCACACCTGGGGGGGGGGTCGAATATCACTCACACCTGGGAGGGGGGTCGAATATCACTCACACCTGGGGGGGTCGAATATCACTCACACCTGGGAGGGGGGTCGAACATCACTCACACCTGGGGGGGTCGAATATCACTCACACCTGGGGGGGGGTCGAATATCACTCACACCTGGGGGGGGGGGGTCGAATATCACTCACACCTGGGAGGGGGGTCGAACATCACTCACACCTGGGGGGGTCGAATATCACTCACACCTGGGGGGGGGTCGAATATCTCTCACACCTGGGGGGGGGGGGGGGGGGTCGAATATCTCTCACACCTAGGGGGTCGAATATCACTCACACCTGGGGGGGGGTCGAATATCACTCACACCTGGGGGGGGTCGAATATCACTCACACCTGGGGGGGGGGGGGTCGAATATCACTCACACCTGGGGGGGGGTCGAATATCACTCACACCTGGGGGGGGGGGCGAATATCACTCACACCTGGGGGGGTCGAATATCACTCACACCTGGGGGGTCGAATATCACTCACACCTGGG